TTTTTGAGCATGAAATATCATTTCTCTATGAAACATATCTGTTCTCCAATATAAGATCTGCACTTATTTCCAGCTTTCCTCTCTTCTAACTCTATTTAGTAATAAATTATGCCATATTTACGATACGGAATTCCCACTACAGCTCCTGTGTATCTTTGTACTTTGGTATTCAAGATATAGACATTTCGAAAGTGGTTCTCTGATATTGTCAACTGAAACTGATATATCAGTTAGTAATTTTTTTGAAATTTTTTTGTATTTTAAATGTAAAAATTAGTCAAGTACTTGAATTTTATCAATTATAGTCTAACCAATATTTGTACTCATTTTTATAGGAAATTATAACTATCTCAACATGCGCTGTCTTCTCAATTGACTTGATACTTATGTACATTCATACTTGCTCATACACACATACATATATTGCACGAATGACATGCTAAGAGACCCTAGAATAGATCTGGTCAAAAAATACATAAGGGACAGAGCTCTGAAGCTATAAGCGAAAATGGATAGGCTGCCTTACTTAGCACTGTCTATTCTCAGAGTAATCACTAACCGCACAGTGTGGTACGCAGATTTTAGATCAATCATTGAATAATGAAGATTATGAGGAATACTCAAATTAGTCAGTAAGATGGGTGGGACTCTGCTGAAACCCCCAAGCCATCATAGAGTAAAAGTGCCCAGATGCATTAACTCGGAAAAGGCGTAACATAACATAACATACATATAATACAATTTAAATTAAAACAGAACAATAACAGTAAAAACAGTGGTAATATTAAATATCACCTTTTGAGAAAAAATATGAAGAGCCAATAGTGACCTCCCATTAAACTTTCCTACCTCCTTTATGATAAACCTCCCATAAAACATTTCTACTACTACCTTTACTACTACCTTTACTGTTTTTTACCGTTTTTTGGATACTAATATTACTAAAATCCAAAATAACATTATTAGTTATTTTAAGGCATTTGAATTTATTGTATGATATTAATATACATTGTGACCGAAAAGTTTTCGGGAAATTTTAAATAAAACGCAAAATTCTTAACCTTCATCAATATTTATTTATCTCCTTTCAAAGAATATGCTCCATTAGTGAAGCGATACAACAAATGCAACGTTTCTTTCCATCATCAAAAAAACATCTTTTTATTAGGCGCTTTCCGGTATGGCTTTGAGTTCCCTCTGCGAATTCTGTTTTACGTCTTCTATGGATTCAAAACGCGTTCCTCTGAGTGGTAATTTGAGGTTGGGAAACAGGAAAAAGTCACACGGTGCAAGATCAGGTGAATACGGTGGCTGTTCGATGGTATTTATTGAATGTTTGGCCTTAAAATCGTTGATAATGTTGAACAAATTGAGGTGAATCGGAACAAGCCGGGCGTTGACACGTCGCATACACAAATTTTCCACCAAAATCAAACGAGCCATCTCACGACCGATGCCTAGCTCTCGTGCTATCTCTCTAACACTCACATGAGGATTTTTGAACACGATTTCCTTTGCCTTTTCAATGTTTTCGTCGGTGGTAGAGGTCGAAGGTCGTCCAGAACGCGGCATGTCTTCGACGGTCGTACGACCGTCCTGAAAGGCTTTGTACCACTCATAAACTTGAGTTTTCGATAAAACTGATTCCCCATAAGCCTTTTGTAGCATTCGCAACGATTCTGCACACGAAATTTCGTTCGAAACACAAAATTTGATGCAAACTCTTTGTTCAATATTTTTTTCCATTGTTTTTTTCGCAACGCACTACTGAGGTGAACTGGTTTCAACAGCTGCCGTAAACGAAACTGGTCTGACAGATCGCGCTCATTTTTGCCATAGTAATTAAGGACAGTGCGCCAAACTACATAAACTTTTAAAATATCGAAAAATATACAGCGCGCGAATTTTAAATGAGAATTTCCGAAAACCTTTCGGTCACAATGTATACCACATATTTCGGTTGAAAATCCTAAAAAGGCACTTAAATAAGACGGTATTAAGTGCCTAAAATTTAAAATAATTTGCAATATTTTTTGGAGTTTAATGTATTTCGCTTTACTAATTCATTGTTTACTTCTCGTTGTTCATTTTGCAGATCCAGAAGATGTGATGAAATTCATCGGAAATGAAAGTGTCGTGGATCATTTCAAACTCATCAGTAAAGATGGCAACAGTCTGCTCGTCGGGGCGAGGTAAGTGCCTACACACCATATATATTTTACAACAATAGTTCAAAAAAGAAAGAGAGCTAAAAGACAATGCAAAGAATATTTTAAATTATGTTGACGTTGAAAAGCAGAACTGGAAGAAGAAAAAATAGGGACAAAATTTACAAAAAAAAAAAAAACAGAAAAACAGAAAAACATAAAAAAAATTTCAAAGTAACAAAAAAGCAAATGTTAGCATAATAAATGAAATTCACTCGAATGCACTATCAACATTTTGCTTGTCTGTTATACAACTGCATTCACTTCCTTATTCTTCCACTACTTCGCCACGTCCGTCCCGTCCATCCCGTCCGTCCTGTCCTGTTGGTGGCATTCGTATTCACAATTGCATTCACAATCAAAATCGTACGCGTCATTATCATTTTGAATGCTATTCGGCACGAAACACCTTTGAAATGTACCCAAAATGCGAACAACGTCACCGGCCGGCCGTCAACGCAATTGTCGGGCTCATCAACAGACCCACTGCCGCGCCGGCCGGAGTCGGCGAGGTAGCCATTTTTATTTCGCTGCGCTTTGTTACACAGTTTCCATTTTTTTTGTTTTTTTTGCTGCATTTGGAAAAGGCGTAGCGGAATATATATTTTTGTTGCCTTTTTCTTTGTTTTATTCTGTTTTTAATTTAAATGTATCTTCCCTTTTCCTCTTTTTGCTGTTAAGTATAGCGCTCAAAACCCCTTAGCGTGAGTTAAATTTTCCTTTTACCCATTTGAAGGAGTTCTTGATATGCTTCAGTACAAACTGTTGACGTCCTGTTGACGCAAGCAAAACTGTCAGCAAAGTTGGCCGTTTCCGTTGGTATCTACTTTTTCCTTTCATTTTCTTTTTACTTTTTGTTTTAATAATTTTTTTTTTTTTTTTTATATTTTTTTCCCTTTTTTTGCATTTTTTTGTATTTAGATTTACATTTTCTGCGCTCGGTCCTCTTTTTATTATGAATGATTTAACGTGCAGCAACTGCTGAAATGTTAAATTGAAAATTATGCATTTTTCCACTGCTGCAACTTGAATTATCCGAGCTCCAAGGATGCTAGTCGAGGTGCTGGCAGTAGCAAAAATATTCAATGTTGCCATTTTTTCGCCATATAAAAGAGTTCCTGAGCACAGCAAAAACGATAGCCGGCATAGAAAATGGCTATTGGGACATCCGTTTGCTTGCTGAGTTGGTTGTTTGTTAGTTTGTTTCCTTTTGAAATGGAGTAGAAATTTTAAATTTTTATTAAATAAAATTGCTAACTATACGTCTCATCCATGGGCTGATTAAAAGTCTTCCAGAAGAACATCAAATATTCCACTAAAAGTTGCTGATACATGTTATGCACTTCATTATTACCCACAGAAATGAAAGTCACTTAGAACATTAAAAATTGTTAATAGTTATTTAAAATAGAATTAATTAAAAAAGGTATAGGAAAGAAATAAATAACGATAAAATTATTAAGTTATTGCATTGAAAGATTTTCAACTGAGATTTAGAGATCTATTGTGGCCTATTCATGGATTAAAAGAATTGCCACAAGTTTAACTTCCTCAATTAATTGTGTTATTGCATCTTTGTTGCCAAATCCAATACTTATTTCCTCGCCCGACATGATATGGTCTCCTAAGTACTTTTCCGATTATACATCAATACCGGGCAAACTCCCAGCACGTATTTTGGGATCTCATTGTAGTCCTCATGAAACGAACAAGTTCCATTCAATTTAACAGATTTGTAAAGTGATTAACAATATTAAGTACCTTGTCGAAATTTCTGTAATAATACTGTAATGATAAATTATATTTACTTAGCTACTGCTGTCCTTCTCTCCAAGTGAAGCATACGGCCTCGTTTTATGTAACTATTTTTACTTAGTTACATACAATCTTTAAATCATTTTAGGTTGAAGGTCTCTAGAAGCGATTTTGATTGTGATATGATATGGTAGATGAAAACTCCAACGTAACCCCAAACCCATTGATATCCTGAATCTTCAATATCAATATCTGATCGTTTAGGCCAGGTTTTCCTGATACTCACTATATGTCTCCAATATGTCTTACATATTAGGACTCTTACATAATAGCCGTCAATTCGAAATTCATATCAATTTAAAATTCATACCTTTTGTGATATTTTGTTGCCGAAAACTCCAACGTGACCCCAAACCCATTGACATCCTGAATCTTCAATACCAATATCTGATTGTTTAAGCCAGGTTTTCTTGAGTTTAATACAAATTTGAAATTTATACCAGTTTGAAATCAGTTGCAGTTTAATTGTATCACTCTTCAGATTTTCAGATTATATGTGTGTTAAGTATTATTGATTTATCTTAAATAACTGAAAGACTCGTCTGCAATAGAATTAACAAACAAACAGACTTATTCTTAAAATCTAATCTACACGTAGAGTTGGTAGTTAACACATACAATCTTTAAGATATTCAATATATTCATTTCATTCCTGTTCTTTAACGGATGCTATTAGCTTCAATTACTACATGTGTTGATTGAATGTATGGATCTACTCCCTCTTTGGTGCTTATAATCAAAAACAATTTTTGTGATACCTTCTATGGGCTTAAGTACGAGTAGAATATTATAAGATCACTTATATTTTCATGTCTTTATTTTCTCGACAATTACTGATTGTCTGGTTTTGAACTATAATTGAATGTAATTGTTTAATATTTTGTTCGGTGAGGGTACTCCTAAAGGGACATCCATACCAAAGCGCGGACTTGCAAACGAACGAACATTTGCAGTTAAGCGTACCGGCGTTCGCTTTGGTGTGGATGTACCTTAACATGTGGCGAAGTCTGAGAGCGAAAATTCCGATTGATAGAGCTTTTCCAAAACAGGGAATTGCCGACGATGACATTCCAACTTTCACAGCGTTTGAAGTGTGGTACTTTAACGTTGATGTTATTCGGAAAATAATACTTTCTAAATACTTGAAGTATTTAGAAATAAATTATATTTAGATCTGATAGGAAAAAGGATAACTTCATTCGTATAAAATAGCTTAACTTTAGGATATATTTTTTGTATTGTCTATATGTATTTTAATCAGTATTTTTGAAATTTGTTCAATTATGCATTTTACTTGTAATCTCTTCAAAAGAGTTTCCATTCCCAAGCTTTCATTTTCATTGTTCATATGAATCTTAAAATTTTATTTGCTAATTGTATTTTATTTTCATGAACTACTAAACAATTTAAAATTATTTTGTAAATATTTACCAGCAAGTGTTTCTTCTTATATTGAATATACATTTTATATTTATTTATCGAATTTTACATGAGAAAACGGAATCAATTCATTTAACACCAGCATTTTTCCTTTATCTCTGCGCAAATATTGTAATTGAAGCACAAAGTTGTGGCATCCAACTGCATTAAATCAATTTCATACTATTTTATTCCACATAATGCTTTATTGCAGATACGTACTGGCACAAGGACGAGTACACCCGTATGTGGCAGGTACTTTGCAACAAATAAGTTGCAACTTCTCGACTCGATTTATGCATGATAGACTTGAGAACTCGAAACGATAACAAGGAAAAATTCAAACCAAATCAACATTTCTCGAATTTTCAAATATCAATTCTCGTATAAAGGCTTTCTCCCCAGTCCCAGCTCCAGCCCCAGCCCCAGCCCCAGCCCCCTTTCTGCATACAATTTCCTTTTGATTTTTTTTACTTCGTTTATTCCGTTTAATAAAAGTGTTAAATTCCTTGAATAATTTACACTAGAAAAAATGCAAAAAGCACGATGAAATCAAATAAATGCAAAGCATAAACTCGTATGTGTAAAAAGATATTTTGCAAAAGATAAAAAGATACATTTTAAAATGTCTGCAAAATAATAAAAATGTTTAAGTGGTGTGTGTGTGTCTGTGTGTATGTGTGCGTGTATCTATGTGAGAAGTGTTGATATTGTTCAGCTTTTGAGTGTTCACTTAAGTGTGCTGTAATCGGTGAATGCGAGTGTCTTGACGAAGTGTGAGTGTCAACGTGAATGGAGGTATAAGTGTCCTGGCTAAGATTTGAGAAGGATATGATAGCTGCTTGGGTTCAGTTTTTGTAATCATAAGTAAAATTTTTATTGTTGTGTTATGTTGTAGAGGTAAATAATCTAGAAAAACATACGAAATTCCAAACCCAAATTATAGAATTAAAGTCGTAGCGTAACTTATATAAAGCTGACCAAAATTCCATGCCATAGTAAGTGAATTGGAATATATCCTTCCATATGGTTAAACTAGCATAAATGATAAAATTGATAGAAGATCGTTGAATAAAGTTTAAACTTGCAAAATCATTAGAAATAGTTCAGCACAAAAGTTAACAAATAAGAACTTAAATCGTTTGAAGTAAAAAATTTCCATTAAGCTAAAAGTAACAAAATTCTTAGAAGTATCACTGCAATATATTATAAAGAAAGAACTCAAACCTCTTGAAATGAATATCACTCTAAAGAAAAGCCATTAGTAAAAGATAAAAGATACTCAAATAAAAACCCACATTCAGTGAAGTTATCGAAAACGCTATAAAAGTCTTACAAGTTACAAAGAGACTCAATAGTCTACTAGTTAAAGAAAACTACAAGTCAGTGAAAGCTACTAGTCAGTAAAAGCTACTAGTCAGTAAAAGCTCCTAGTCAGTAAAGTCATTAAACGATTCATAAACGTTTTGAAACAAAAACTTATTGTCAATAAAGCCATCAATAGTGTTATAAGAGTTAAATTACTATTTAGCAAAGTTCAAATCCTCCAAAAATGAAACTATGAAGCAATGAGAGACAATGAGAGGGGCTTAAAGATAATGTAATTCCAAGTAATCTATTTATATATAATTGTATTAAATAAGTCCCATGTATCTATTAAAAACTCGATATGCAGCATGATAAGCACATACAAATCATAGAAAATATAGGCTTAGACAATAAAGATATAAGACTGATAAGAAATTTGTACT